AAAATTGAAATCTTTATCCTTCTTAATTTTTTTATTACAGATATTCAACTTGAATCCTTTTATCTATAAGAAAATGTTCATATCTCTCTGCAGTGCAAATCTATCATTAAACACATGCTAGTAACACCCACAACAAAATTGATTCAATGCCTCTCAGACTTAAAATTCAACTCAAGTTTTTCTGAACAAAATTTTTAAGGGAGCATTTTCTATAGATAAAGGTAACCTTATGGTCAAGACTTGAGTTTTAACCTTGGTCATGTGACCTTTATTCTGAAATTCCAATGAATTTGTTAAATTGCTTCATTTGATTACATTTAGTTTACTTGTCTACAATTAGAGTGCATTGTAAATCAGTAGGCCTATTATGACAGAAGAGATGGAGATCTACTTGAAATCTTTCTAACACCGACAGTCAAGACTGTTAATGAAATTGTTGAAAGCCTTAAGTGTAATGATCCTAAGTCATAAGACTTTAAAACTTATGACTATTTCAATTAACATTTTTATCTTAAGTCAAAACTTTAGACTTTAATAAAATTTATTCTCCAGAGAAAAGGGAAGAAACACAATTGCGAATGCTTTAATAACTATGTTCATCTGCATCGCTATTCAGAAATTGAAATAGTTATAACATAGCACCTGGAATCATAAGTTTAGTATATTTCTTTGAACAAAGAATTGTCTCAGTTTTGGTCTTAAGACTTATTTAAGACTTAGGGACTTTCTATGAAATGTAGCCCCTCTTCCACCCTGTTTCATTATTTTTTACAGAGACATATAGTAGGATAGATATTTTATATATTTAAACATCTACTATGATTATATCTAGCCAACCAACCTCTAGCTGAAGTTCTCTGATATCTGGATGTTTTGATAAAGGTACTCTGCTCCTCTGCTTTAATGGTGATCTTTTACCCTCATTCTCCTCCAACTTATCCAATAACATTCGTTCTTCAAGGTCATGAAGGTCACGACTTCTTGAACGCTGATCTTTAAGTTTGCGCAGCTGATAAAGCTTGTAGATGAAATATGACATAATGATACTAACACACCACTAGCATGCAAACAACATAGTTACTAATATATGTATACAAAAACAGTCACAACCATTTTTATTCATTAAAAAAATTAATAAATTTCAAGTTTATGAATATTTATTATAAATGAGTACATCTGGTCATTATGATTTGAAACACAAAAATAAAACTGTTATGTGTAATAAAAGATACAAAAAGCTAATTCAATGGATTAATATGATTTTCTTTGTCTTTATTTCAACTACAATTGATACAAATTAGCAGAAATTATTCATGTATTTTAATTTAAATTTATAAAATTTAAGGTGTATACTAGGGATACATTACAGACATGACTGTAGTAGAATGAAAACTGTAATTAGAATTTATTTAACTGTTGATGATCTAAAAATGTGAGAACAGAAAAGCTTAAAAAATTGCAGTTAGTACCGGGTAACCTCATTTCTGAGTTATCTGTACTTGATTTTAATGTGTTTGTTATTTCAGGTCATTTGAAAGACTTTGAGATAACTTATACTTAGGTCCTGTACTATCGTAATATATGTTTTTTTTTCTTTTTTGGTTGGGTTTAACGTTGCACCAACACAGTATAGGTCATGTGGTGACTTTCCTGATTTATTGATGGACGAAGACCTCAGGTGCTCCTCCGTGCATTATTTCAGGCACAAAGGGGCACCTGAGTAGAATTATCAATGCTCTGTAAGCTAGTGTAAGCTAGCTGGATACCTTTCTCACATGAAAAATCAAAAGACACAGACAAGACTCGAACCTACAGCAGTCAGAGGCAAGCGGTTTGAAGTTAATGACCTTATACACTCGGCCAAGGACGCCCCTTTTTGTTTTTTTATTTCATCCTAAATGGTCATTATATAAAGTTCATAGAATTAGATAGATAGAAAGACTATTAAATTTTGTGTGCCTTGCATAGAGACTGAAAATTCTATAAAAACAGGCCATTTTAAAGAAAATTGGCAAAGCTTTAAGATCTTTAAGATTAGTTAACAATCCAATCTCTTTGGGTGACAAGGTGAAAAAAATAAACAAACAACTCAATACCAATTCTTGAACTTTTGAAAAATCACTTAAAAGGAAGTCAGCTATATAAAAAGCAAAAAATATAAGGCCTTACTAAACTTGATTGTGAATTATCTGCCCTTGAAATCAGCAAATTTGCAACCTCAAGGGCAGATAATTTAAAGACAAAGCTGTAAAATTCTTTTAACCCCAAAAATTTACCTTAGTTATCAAAGATCAAAGTTCTAAGATCATGGAAAGTGTAAATAAATTCTATTATAGTAACAGTTTTCATTCTGCTGTATGTCTATATATATATATGCCTCAGTTTCTCAAATATTATTAATTAAAAGAAAAATTGATATAAATAATTTACATTTGAAATGGAAATTCAACATGCAATACAAATATAACAGAATGCATACATAATTATAACATGTGGGGAACTAAATGTTCTACAATATAAAATACAAAACTTGTTTAATGAAAGATAGCTTTACTGTCTAAAAACATTTGCAAATACAATGTAGTGTAAATTAGGAAGTGTCAATAGAAAAAAGAAAACTATAGCAGGGATTTTTTTAAGATTTTGGGAACATGACCCATACCCATTGAATTGGATATTTTAGCGGTGTTTTGTTAAGAATTGGGAAAAAATGCATGACTGAAATTTTACAATGATTAAATGGATGCAAACAATAACTGTCTAGGATGGCATCTTCAAACATTTTAAGCACTATTACAGTGAAGGAGCCCTGATTTTCAAAGATTTTAGAATTTTTATTCAATATTTTTATTTTGTAACTTTCAATTGGAAATTTTTTCCTGTGGATTGGGAAAATAATATACTATTTTCAATTGGGAATATGACCCAATAAGGGCTATAAAATAAGCCAAAAAAAATCCCTGTGTAACAGAGTGGGATAATTGTGGAAAACAAACAACCCAAAAAAAACCAACAGATAAACAATTTAAAGTTATAATTTTCCAAGTTAGCTCATATCGTAAAGAGGTTCTAAAAGCATTTTTTGCCGCTGAAATGTTTAATCAGAATGCCAAAAACTTGTAGATCTGAAGGAATCTATGTCCTAATGAATAGGTACATATCATAATATATAAAACCTAAAGCTGCTCTCCCTCATGTAACAGTTTTTCTAGCTTATTTTTGTCATATGAGAGGAAATTTTCCACTGTAACATCATAACTTGCTAGAATATTGATATGGCAGCCCACATCAGTACTCATTTGTGTTGGTTACCCTTGAAAACAGCTCACATAGTTGGTGTTTAGAAAATATTTTCTGTACTAAACTTCAGTATTAGGGACTCACAATTACAACAAAACTATGGCTTATAAAAACTCTGTTCTTGCAAAATGTTTTCAAAAAGTAAAGCTAAAAAAACACAAAAAGCAATGGTTAAAACTACACCAGTTTCCTCTAGCCATGGGTCAAATTGCAACAAACATAACAAACAAACAAAACATAAACAGCAGACAAACAGTAATGTGATAAAGTGCAATGAAAAAAAACAACCATAAAGTAGGCTAATTATCACGTTATCAACACATTTACATATTTAGAGCATTTGCAGCTTTGCCAACTTAACATGTCAGGAAAACTGTTAAATCACATATCAAAACATTTAAACTTAAACTAAATATTATTTTGATTCATTTATAAGGTAACTAGCAAAGGAACATGCAGCCAATGTAAACTTACTGTTGAAATGACATGTATCATCTTAGATACTCAAAAAGAAATAATGAAAACTAAAATTCTTATTTCACACTTTTTTCTTATACTAGCATATAAATTTACAATTCCATTTATAATAGAGGTTTAATGCACCTTATTACCTGCATAACAGCTGCAGAAAGACATGGACGCAATTTTAAAGCCTAATCCAAAGAGGCAAGGGGTTTAATAAGTAGGGGTTAATGCAGATGTTAATGCATGTAAAAATGTGCCAGGGCCACAACACCATTTTTGGGGGAGGGGCCTCAGCCTTTTTCTTGGGGAAAATATGCGTGATTTTGGCATACTTTGGGAAAAGGGGTCTTAAATTTAACACAAAATTTTAACAAGTTTTTCAAAATAGAAAAGCAAAAAGCACTGGGAAATACTAATAAGGCAGTAAAAGACCTTAATTCAACAACATCATTTAATTTTGTTCTAAATTCTATGGGAAATTTCAAAAGACTGGGGAATTTTGAGGACCAAACTGGGGGAAAAAGAGGCTAGTTTGGTTGGGGAAGCAGCCTATATTCGGCCTTTACAAAGAAGGGTTTTTTGGCCCTGTGTGCATTAGCACTATTCTTGCATAAAAGTATATGTCAGATACAGTAATTTAGCATTTTGTTGGGGTCTTTTTCCTTATAAAGAAACTGGTTTTATCATGCTTTTCACAAGTGATTGTGATGATATTTCACACCTTTGTTTTAATAAGGAAGTTACCAGGGCCATCATTGCAGACATCTTTTTTTCCATGACTCCCTGAGTCACAGATATAAAAAATGTGCAACAAATTGGTGCATGCTTGCATGCTGTTATCCCTTTAATGCATGTTTTCTTCTTTGTATATGTACATCTGCATACATAGTTTTTATGCAAGAATGCCGCTGAATAAAGTCAGTCATTCTTTAGGTGGTGGTAATTGCATGATCATTTTAAAGGAAAGGACAGTCCAGTGAATGATGATCTTTTCCCAGCACCTGAGAGTCATCATCAGAAAATCCAGTCCGATATGCAAGAACTTTGTCACAACATACCAGCATAAAAATTGTTTGAACAGTAAAAGGCTGCATATTCCTTTTGTATAACTAAGATAAGAATATATCAGCTTTCATGTAGTTTTTCTACTTGAGTTAAATTATGGCAAAAACAAAAAAATTTAACATGGCTGATAAATTCTGAGTAGTTTGGGTAACTAGATAATATTCCCTCACCTTTTTATTTAATGTGAGTGCTGAATCTGTGAGAGGCTGAAAAAATGCATCAGAATATGTGTATACAAAATCACAAGCAAAATTCCACTGTCAAAATAGAATTAACAACATGTGCAATAGAATCTTTACCACCAGCAACAAAATTTACCAAGTTGTCTGACATATCATAACAATGCATAAAAGCACTATTATTAAACAACAGAACCTATTCCATATCTAGACTAACAAACAAGTACATCAAACCACAGCAAAAATAGATTTAAAATCAAGTGCATCTTTACTACCTTATCTTCAACAATATCAGAATCAGGGGTACCAGGTAGATCAACAGAGTCTGTTGACATAGCCCTGTCCCCTTCTGTCTCAACAAATGTACCCCCTTTTAGCATTTGAGGATTTTGGTAAAAAAAATCAGTTCCATCTTCATCTTGAATTAGGAATGGTGGGGATTTTGCAGATCTTGTTGTGGCTATTAACTTTGGCGAAGCAGTCGTTTTTCCTTTATTACCTTTACCTTTACCTCCACTGTTCTATAGATGATAAAATCATAGATTTAAATATAAAAAATGCCAAAATAATCCATTTAATCCTGTAAACTTTCAGATAAGAATTTTAATGCAGTCTTAATAAAGTTGATATTAAGAATTCATTTTTTTTTCCTCTAACAAAAATAAATGTTTGAAGACCAACAGGAAAGTGGATCAATTATCTTTAATCTAAAACTGTTCTACTTTTGAGTCCATCTTGTTTGGATCAAAAATATTTGTACTACTTCATTAGTACTGTTTTTGTCTAGCTTTTAGTTAGAATTATTGCAATAAATTATAATAAATAAATATAATAAATAATAATAATAATTATAGGATATCATTTAACCATGATTTTTTTTAAATTTAATCACAATACTGGTAGAGAAAATACTACAATTATTGACAGTCTATAATTATTGACAGTTTTATTAATTTCTATTGATTAAAATTTTCAAATGACGTTATAAAACTCATTCTATGTCATCTTTTCCTGGAAACATCATGAAAACTATCTTTGCATTCTTTTTACTATTTTGCAAAAGTCCATCGAGTTGTTCAAGTTAAATTTGCAAGCATTTTACAACTGTTGTGTCATTTTGTTTACTAAACAGTTAAAGTTGTGATTTTCACTTTTTTTCTCCAAGAGTTATCCCACAAAGATGTATTTGGGTTACAGGGCACTAAATATGCAATATAACCGGATTTGGATACAGTTGTAGGGGATGCCTATAACCATGTCCAGTATACAGATATGTCAACAGTTATTGACACATTGCAAATTTATAATAAAAGTTTATGTTTTAAAAACAATTTTATTGAAGAGTATGAATATAATGATGTTTTGTCTTTCTCACTCCTATTAACAGTTAATAATTCTTTAATATTACTGCATGTTTGTAATGTTGATTTAAATGGAATCGTTTCAACATTTATATTATTCACAGTGTAAGAATCCACTAGGCTGGTCAGACTACCACTCAGCCCGTGCAGAAAATATTTCCTGTTCTCGGGAAGTCCCAGGAAATCCCAGGATTATCCCAGGATTTGTTTGCTACCTCTTAACAAAAGTCCTGTTTATAGGATATCTTAAGACTTTTGAACATACTGAACAGGACAAAACAGGAATTGTCAGGACTTTAATCTTACCAACAGGAAAAAACAGGAAATCATAGGACTTTCATTTTCAAATATGTCCTGAGGACAGGAATTATCAGGACTTCATTTATAGTGAAGTCCTTTAGTCAAAGACAAGAAAGATATTTTCTTAGAAGGCCTTTCTGTAAAGTGAAAAGTAAGAAGTCTAAATTTTACCAGTTCATGTTAAATGTTGAATTCTGCTTAAGCCGGTGCTAGGGGGCGTGGACGGTAACTTGCACTTTCCAGTACCGTCCATGAACAGGCTCAATCAAACCGAGCCTGCAACATTTTCAATTATGCCGTGTTGGACTTTCTTTAGGGATTCTGTATTTATCTATTTTGTTAATTCCTGTTCTTTAGACAGAGGATAAAATGAAATAACTTTTGTGAGACTTTTTATTACTGAGCAAAGCTGAAAAAAATGCTAAGTATAAAAAATGAGAAAAATTGATAAAATATATTGAAGTCGGTTTGTAATAGTTTTCTTTAACACAATGGGTATCAAAATACTCAGAATTTAAAATTCTATAATCTTAGACCTTAATCACAAACAATTAAGAAAAAATTGCTAATTGATTTTTGAACATAGCAAGGAAATTTTTTTTTTTCATTTAATAAGATATTGTAATAGGGAAAATCAAATATACAGGATTGTATATAACCTGCACATAATTTTGGCACAGATTCTGAGCGGAATAGGGACAGAATTGGCATGGAATCAGTGATTTCTGTGTGGACCATGGAAAGAAATGAAATTCTGTCATTCCATTTCAAAACAAAAACAATTCACATAAAAGTTACCCAAAGCATTATTCTACTCTAGTTTTTTTATTGCATTTACAAACATTGAAATGTAAATGTTTTCAACCTATTGTACTACTTACAGTACTTTTTTTTTTACTCAAGCTCATGCAACTGTCATTTTTATCTATTTCAAATCAAGGAACCAATATGCCTGATAATTGCATACACTTAGGCCACCCACTTAGATATTACACCACACAGATCAAAGATCTGATAAAACTGGCCACCTTTGTTCTCTCACCATAATGTGCATGACTAATTTACTCCCTGGTCATTCCTACAAATCAGACTGTTCCATGTGATTATTTTGGGGAGAGGTAACATTACAGAGTTGAATGATATGCAGAATATGTCTAGGACATTGCAATTTTTCTTATTTATTAAATGCATGATTTTTAAAATCTACTTATCTATTAGCTATTTGATGTGGTTTTTTTACATTCAATGAATGTTATATAAAATGATAACTGCTTTGATTTTTGGATTAACCCTGTTTTACCTAATGATGTACCTGTCCAGTTTGAATGGTCAGCTAGAAGCTTGGAAATAGTGTAAACAAGTAGAGATTTTGATGCTAAAGCATCAAGTCGCCGGATAGAAAAATGATTGTATTATCATAAATATAAGAAAATATAAGTTTAATGGTTCAAGTATAAAAATAAGAGGAACAATGAGTTGAGTAATGTTTGCCACTGAGGCTTGTAAGGCAAGTGCTATGCTGGTAATTCTTCTTGTAATTATACTTTATACATATACTGTTGTACCATACATTGAAATCCGTTTAGGTTACTAGTTCAGATTCAGATAATTACAATGTACCGACAAATTAATTCCGATCATCGAATATTTGCAAAGTGACTATGAAAATATATATGTTTAATTATTACATGAAACAATACAATTTTACTGTAAAAGTGTTGTACATCATTATTATGTGCTATAGAAAAAAATATATAATTTAGTTGAAATCAATACACGTATTCCAATCGTTACATACGATATATATAATTAACGATTTAATTGCCTTTCATTGCGATAAACTATCAACACAAAGATAGTTTATTATTTTTTTCTATGTATCTAATATGATTCCGGACCCCTGACGTCATACCGTTTTGGAAACCTGCGTGACGGAAACCGACGGAATATACCGAAAAATCAACGATTACCATTATATATTTCAATAATGTGCCTCTTAAGCATAACATTATTTTGGGATGTTCAACCTTAAACTAAACAATTGAACTTTCTTGTCGAATTTTGACAGAAAGGGCAAGTTAAACCCTTTACCAAGAAGAAAGGAAAAGGTTTTGAAAATGTATTTTTAATGTAAACAGGTTTTTTCTAATGATATAAAGTATGAACCTTGATTAATGAAAAATAACTTATGTAATTATCTGTACAAAATTACAATGATTTACATTCTTATCAGTTACCACCATTAACAAATTACCTGTCTTATCAGCAATCTGTAACTATTAATAGATTTTATAACGATATACAACATATATAAACATGTAGTCACGTGATTCTTACGAAAGACCAGGGAGCATTTGTTTATAATTAGATAAAATAATGTAATATAAAGGTCTCATAAAAAATAAACAAACCAAATAATTCTAAAGTGTCATTTCAAATATCATTCATGATTTATATATTATAAAATAGCAATGCTTGACACATAGCAAAAAAGTAAAAGTATCTCTATTATTCAATGACTGATCCTTGGGGATACGTTATTGATTCATTTTATGAAAAATTGTAATGTTGCTTTTTAAGACGTCAATATGTGCATATTTCATTCCACTGAGCAAAGTTATCATATGTTTGATTTTTTGTGATTACTGAAAAATAATTGTTGTCTTTAATTGTTCAATGATTGATATGCTTTTATTTTCAGATTTTAAGGGCTTCTCCTACCATAGGTATAATATTAAACTATTACAAATATAGTCGCCGGTTTCTACCGGCGACTAATTACAGAGGAGACTACTTCCTGTTTAAGCAATTTTGGAGATATAGTTTTGTTTAAGATGTTAAGGTGTTTAAGTTTAATAAGTGTAGTTATGGTTAATAAGAATGACAAGAATCAGAATCATCTGGAACAAGGAGATATACAACAGAATGAGGTAATTAAACCTTCAGTTACATTAATACAGAAACAGGTTATATATGTATATCAAACAATCAAGGTAGCAAACTAAAATTTGTAACCACTTCATACATTGATTTACTAACAATTGATTTATATCTAGATTTGATTGTCACGATCATTTGTAACATATATAATATACAAAATAGCATTAGATAGATTGTCTTTTTTATTTCTGCAAGTTAAAATAATGTGAAACAAATTAAAATTATGGGGACTAAATGGTACAGTTTTATACACACCTGTCAGTAAGTTTTGTGGAGCTGAATAAGACAGGGTTATCATAATCATTTTATGTGTTGTTTTCAATGGAAAAATCTGATATTATATTTCACATAAATTGCAGGCTGAAAAGTGGGACCAGTTCTGAGTCTGACTCTGAGATGTCAAGTGAATAATGATGTGCAGTATTGAGCCCCAAATGGTATGCTTTATGTTTTTAAATCTCTATATTTGACTATTCTTAATATTTCTAAGAAGAAAAAAATAGTTCATTGCACAATTATTTGAAACCATTTGTTACCTTTCTTTTAAAATTCTTATTTTTTAAATGAAAGTTGCATTTAAGTTCTTACCTTGGTTGAATTTTACATCCAACTTCTAAGCAACAACTTATTCTGCAACCAAATAGTACTAAGCATTATTAGTGTAAAGTTTCTTTCTCAAGGAAACAATGGCTTGCTGACAGGGTTTAAACAAATATGGCAAGGAATCCTTAGATTACTGGTCTGATTTGTTAACCTGCATTTGGCCATGCCACCACTTGTGTTTATATTGCATGTAAAGTTTCATGACATCACTGCTTATTTGATATTACAAAACTTTAATTTCAACAAAACCTTTTTCTTCTCCATTACAATTAACAAATCTTATTTTTGAAATAAAAGACAATTAAAAATCAGAACACATTTCTTCTTTAAATTGGTTTTTTTTTTAAAGAAAGAAGTCCAAAGTCTTGATGTAGGCAGGTTAAATGCAGGGTGAATATGTCATTTTCTTAAAAATCACTTGAACAAGGCTTCATATGTATTAGGGACCTTTTTCTTCTCATGCTAATTATATGCACATTTTTGTTAAATTTGATAATGCTAAGGGGGCTAGAATTTGGTTTATTTTTATACAAACACATTATGCTAAATAATTGTTACACTGCTTAAAAGAATAGAACTATACTTGACAGTCACTCAGTATTGCTGAACATGTCTTTTTTTTCCAGAAATAATGAAGGAGTCAGAGTGTCAATCAGAGTGCCAACTGTTCAAGGCTGGGAGAACAGTCAGCTGGGAGCCTCAGCCTAGAGCAAAATGATGTAAATGCCATGCAGGGAAAATTTGTTAACTTGTGAATTAAAGCTAGCTTCTAGATGCCATCACAGTCAAACTTTTCAGTGTATTTTTTCTCAATTCTATAAACTTTCCTGGATCTTAAGTTCTAATTTGCTGACATTGGAAGTAGTGTGTGATTTTTTTCATAATAGATTTTTCTGTTCTAATCCATTCAATTATATGTAATAATTGTATACATATAAAATGTAAAATATGATAAAATATTAAAATAAATATTTTTAAACTAACTAAATTTGTGCTTAAATTTGGATTTCAAAGCAGCATTTATTAAAATATCAGCTTTTACTGTTTTCTACATTTTTACATGTCTGTCCTGGGGACAGGACATTTATTAGATAATGAGACTGTCCTGGAAACAGGACCTTCCTTGGATTACAGGACTGTCCTGGGAACAGGACATTCCTGGGATTATGGGATTATCCTGGGAACAGGACTTTCCTGGGATTACAGGACTGTCCTGAGAACAAGACATTCCTGGGATAGCAGAGCAATATTTTTTCCTGTTTTTTCCTGTCTTCAAGAAATTCCTGGGATTGTCCAGTCCCATTAAACGGCGTGAAAAAAGTCTCAGGATTATCTCAGGAAATCCTGGGATTTTTCCAGGACAAATTCCTGAGACTTCTCAGGAATTCCTGGGATAGTCCCAGGACTTCTTGTTCATTTTCTGCACGGGAGATTGGAATATTCACTAGCCCAAAAGACATTTCACTAGCATGATTCATTTGTTCAAAATAGTTGTTTATATTGCCTCTGAAAATACAGTAGCCTTAAGTCGGGCTTGTTACTGTGAAAAGTTGGTAGCCGTAGAAGAAACTTAGTAGTTAGGGGCTATAGGACTACTGCTAATTTTGAACACTGTATTCATATTTATATTGACAATATACTCATTTCTATATTTAAATTACCTTTACACTCATTTCAACATTAAAGTATCTTTCCTATATACTCATTTCTAATATTCATATTACCTATATACTCATTTCTAAATTTATATTACCTATATACTCATTTCAACACTTATATTACCTATACACTAATTTCTAAAATTTATATTACCTATATACTCATTTCAACACTTATATTACCTATATACTCATTTCACCATTTATATTAACAATATACTCATTTCTACATTTATATTACCTATATACTCATTTCTACATTTATATTACTTACACACTCATTTTTACATCTATATATTACCTATACACTGCATTTGACAGGTGATATGGCAGTGTATAAATGGTTATTAGCTAACTAATATATTAGCTTACAACTATTTATATAAAGCCATATAACATTTATATTGAGTCATATAACATTTACATTGTACCATATAACATGTCAATTGGATCTTATTATTTAGCTGTGATAGAATATGCTATTTCTGGAGCTTATTATGTATATTATACCCAAATATTTAAATAATCATAACTTCTGATGTTTGACATTTGTTTAATATCTTTATTGTCTTGAGATCTATTAATGAAATATATTGTTTACTTCATTTGAATTCACACAAGAAAATAACCCTTTAAACATATACCTATGATACATTGCATAAAAATTACCAAAGTCATACATGCACAAAAACTAAATCAACGCTCATAAAATCATACAAAATTGATTTTAAAGTGAATTTTTGATGTCTTGCTTTTAAATCTAATCCACTCTAGGTAGAAATCTTACACAAGTTAAATCAGTGAGTGAACATAGATCTAACTCCCCTGTGATATTTGTTGTACACCCTATCTTCATGCTTTATCATTGAGAATTTTAATCTCTAATCACTTGATAAATTAATATCACAATATTAAAAGAAAAGAGAAATATTTTCACATTAAAAATTACCATGTAGTAAATCTTGTCATTCAATGAGTATTGAGTTATGTTTACAGATAGCAATTTTAATTTTGCAAACTCATTCCTTACCATGCTGTTGAAGCTGAGCAGTGTTAATATAAAACTGATGGTAAAATCAGACAATAGACTTTACAAATGTGACCGCTGGCCTGACATACTTGATGACATAGATGGTAAAGCCAGGCAACAGACTGTAGGCAATTTTATTAAGATTATAATTATATAATGGCATATAATGGTAATGGCATCTTATACAACAGGTATAAAACAAACTTCTTTTTAAATAAAGAAACATAATTAAAAAGAAGGAAAAAGCAGGCATTTACATAATTTAGATATAAAATAAAATATTGAGCAGGACCTCTGGTACTAAGTGGTTTGGATTCAACCCCCCTTACCCCACAAAGAAAGGCAAATTTTCTCTCTTGAGTAAACTAAAAGTATTATGCAAGTCCCATAGAAGTTTAATAAAATAATAACTTGTGGTGGGACACAGCTTTCTAATTTGATATTGACATAAAACTTTGAATAAATGAAATGTTTCAAGATTTCTTTTTGTGAAAACATTTCCATTCTGTTATTGCACAATTGTTGTGAAGTGTATACATACGATTTATCACATTAATCAAAATAGTAAATGCAAATAAAAGTATATTGGGCAAGTTAACTACACAGGTTAGGTGGATGAGGGATAAACATTCTTCATAAATGGGTCTGTTACTAACCACTGTGGTCTACTCAATTGATTGAAATAAATTTAATCCTTGGCGACATGATTGTAAGAATAGGAAAATAATCGGAATCTAGGTTCATAACACTTCACTATGCTATTCACTATTCTAAATTTAATGTGGAACATTTTAGCCTTTGACACAAACAGTGTTTAAGAAAACATTTCAACACAAATGGTTTTCCACATGTGGGATTTGCGGATATTATGAATTTACTCAAAGATTCAAGTTTTTTCTCAACTATTTCACATATAATTATGTTTGTCCTTTATCAGAAAAAAAAATCAACAGAATTTACTATGCTTATAAAAACCTGACTGATTAAGCCTCGCAAAACTTAGGTCTTAGGTACATACATGCTTGAAAAAAACAAACAAAGTTTAAATCAGCTATTTGGAACAGAAAAATCTCTCTTCTTAATTCTTGTAATACATTACTAGAACTTACACAATGAGGAAATTTAAATATCAGTTACATGAAAATATTTGAAGAGTACAAATTTTGGTATAATAAGAAGTTCACTGTGAGTCTGGCAGTCATTAATATTTCAAGTCTTCTTGAATATATTAAATATTAATTGATTAGGAGTCATCATTATGAATATAATAAATCAATTTTGATTCAATGAAACAATGAAGTCACTCATCATTACAGATACGCATGAACTAAAACAGTTTCTTATAGGCACCTTTCACTGTCATATACATGTATATTGCAATATCAGATTTTTCTATCTTAAAAATAAAACTGATCATTATAATTATTGTCATTTGAGAACTCACCCTATCTGGTGACAGTATTACTCGGGGAGACGTTGACCGAAATCCTCGTCGAAGCTGAAGATCATCAGGATCGCTGGTACTGCCCACACAAAATTTCTGTTTATGTTTTGCTAGTAAATGTGGTGCATTAAAGTTCATATGACAATCCTTACACCTATGTATATTCGACATTCTTTCATCGACTAATAAGTCGGCACTGTACATTTAAAAGACTGACCCCTTCCTCTTCTAGTGTCTACCGTTACTTTATATTGTTTATAATCTAACCAATGTCATATAACTATTTCAACAATACCCAAACTTTCTGTTTTTGTTTCTCACAACTAAATTCTCTTATTGGACACTATTAGCTGTATAATTAAATCAGGAATTTCAAAAACTTCATATCCACTCCTTAAAAGATGTTCTTAAACCACAAGTTGTATTTATTATCTCTTTAATTAACTCAAAAATCAGAACGAAAATAAAAATTGTTAACCACTTAACCTGTATTTACTTCCATTTCTTTAACCAATACTTATTACATAGGTTTTAACACAGACTTATCAGTTTCAACTATTATCTAAAGCCACTGTTAAATTTTCAAATATAAACCAAATAGGATTCATCGCAATAAAGTTTATCTGTTTGTCATGCACCTTTTGGGTCATGTCCAATCATGCTTTCATCTTGCCACCGTATTTGGCCACTGAAATCAAAACAACATATAAACATTCAAATAAAAAAATCTCAGGTACAAAGCATAAACTTATATACATATGAATACACTATCAAACCTAATAAAAACCTTTTAACTGCTTCTAAATAAATTTCTTAACAACCTTATATTTCCATTATACCCATTACATTGAGGTGTATACATCATACTCAAATAAGCTATTTAAAATAATTCAATAAACTTTTCCAATATTCAAATAGATCAAAATTCGGTACAAAGATTTCATTTTAATGTTCCATGCAAATTTCTTTGGCTATCTATTCAAAAAACTCTAATATGCATCCTTTTCAATGAAAAACACCTCTGTTAAACTTTAAAATTATGTTTATATAAATGCCTCTATTGATAATAATATATCAGTTAGATTTTAAAGTCAATGATCCATATTTCTTGACTACAGGATGAAATACAAAAACTAAAATTGTACTTTTAATTTTAGAATATTTCTTTTAACATAAAATTAGTTAAATTCTTTTAAAGCCTTTAAAAGAAAACTTGAACAAAATTGTAACTACAGCTACTTCTTATCTAAATTATTACATTAACATTAAGAATTAAATGCCAATATTTATAGAATACCATTATCTATTCCTTAACAACAATGTCTCTCTCTGACATTTTTATGATGAAATGGATCTTATTTTTTTTTTTTTGGGGGGGGGGGGGGGGGTTGATTTTTTTTACAGAAATTGTGGAGAAAATGAAAATATACTATTATTTTTGGACAGAGGAATGGGGTGGAAATTGGCCCTAAAAGTCACTGAGACATTCAAGATATTGGAAATGACATTATATAATGCCACAGATTAAGTCAACTCATGCTCTTTACTTACATGTAATAGCATATGAATCGGTGCTGTCTTTCTTTGTGCTCAGCCTTATAAAGAAGCACAATATTTGTATTCTCAATATAAAACATTGTCTAATTCCAACAAAATCTGTGTAATGCATTTGCTCTTATTTAAATTAGGATTTGTACATTTCAGATATTTTAAAAACAAAATAACCCTGAAGCCATTTTAAAAAAAATTATGTTGGTTCATTTATAATTATTTTAAAAGTTGCTCATATGAGCTAAGTTTGAAGAAAGTCTTTCTGGCTTTTTTTTTAGAGCAGATTGACTCAAAATTGTCTGACATTTCACCTTCTACGAGGGTTGATCAATATATTCATGGACACTATTAATAACTTAATAATTAATCAAGATATTATAAAGAATTTTCGCTATTTAGGAGAAGAATTTAACACTATTACAAATATATTGTGATTTTTAAAAAAAAATCTCATTTTGTTGATTATATGTATCGCCATAGCAACCCTATGCCGTACGAACGCCGCAGCTTAAAAAAGTTATATTTACCATTTTAAAATACTTAAAAATTGGCCTTATTTTGGCGCGCTTCATTAAAATATGAAAATGACAGCAACATTCTTTCATATTGTTTATAGAGCATTTAAAAAAAAAAAACAAGCGTCGCTACGATTTCTTTTGTTTGTTGGAGATGTAAATGGAGACAGGGGTGTGTCACCAGAGAGGAGCACGACGTTGTTGGAGCAGAGGGCAGTAATTAAGTCTGTGTAAATCTTGGTATGACGCCACAGCAGACTAAGGAAAACTTGGAAAGTGTATCTTGAACAAAAAAAGTGTCATAGTCGTTTGTTTATAAGTGGCACAAACGCTTCCATGAGGGTAGAGAAGAACTTCAGGATAATAAGAGATGCGGCAGACCAATCAAAACTTGTTTCAATGAGAACGTTATGCGAATGAAATTGAAGGCAGAGGTAAAGGGACACAAGTTAACCAGGTTCCATGATTTACAGTCCAAGGCATTTTCTGTGTTGCATTCATTTAATAAGAACATTTTCAGTCAGTGGGTACACAGGCATGAACGATGTGTAGAAGCTGGTGCTGCATTTTTTAGAAGATGTAACGCCGACGTAACTTAAGTTTCGAATGAGCTGCGGCGATCAGCTTAACATGTATTTTTGAAAACTGTCATTTTGGATAAAATATACGGAATATTTATCTGAAACTTACACATCAAATTGATAAATGATTGAATAAATGTCAAATATAATTATATTAACTTTCCTTCCCCAAAAAAACAATTTATGGAGTGTGTCCACGAATATATTGATCAACCCTCGTATATTAGCCAGCATATCAGTGGAATGGGCTCTACATATCACTCAGCTTGTTGATGTGAACATTTGAGTCAAGATTAAAGAATATCTCCAAAAGTTAAAAGGATTTATAGAATATGGAGACAAACTTTCAGACATTTTAATCTTCAAGAGAGACCAGGCTTATCAGCTGCATGGTTTCTGCATATTATGTTGTAATGGTGAACATTTGAGCTAAGTTTGAAAATATTCTTTCAAAGGGTATAGGATTTTTAATGCGACCTAAATTGTCTGACCTTTTGTCTTAAAGTGAGACCTTTATCTTGAGGCAGCAGTTGTGCACTAAATTTATTCTGCACATCACCTTATTAAGGTAAACATTCAAGGCAAACTTGGGGAAAATTCTTCAATGGGTATTGAATTCAAAGAGTGGACATGGAATTACTTGATATTTGACCTTCAATGGCAACATTGACCCTGAGCAGTAAATCTGCAAATAGGTTCTGTAGTTTATCTTGTTAAAGTGAACATTTCAGTCAAGTTAGAAGATAATCAATTCATTCAAGAGGTAAAGAATTGCATAGAGGGCTATGGCATATATTTTAGCTCCCCCATCCATTACACGGTTAAACTTCTTTGCCTAACAATAGAAGATATCTAGTTGTTGTTTTTATTTGAGAATTTCAATTTCACATTCATCGCCATCTAAATTTGTAATGCAGGAATGTGAAAAAATTAGGAATTAATGGTGCAAAAGTCAAGCTGGATTGTGCAAATATGTGTGCTAATACAAACAAAATGATAAGTAAACAAATCAGTATTTTGAAATAAATCATACAACTGAAATAAATGAATTAGTGCATCTGGCAGCTTAGACATTATATTTTAAGCCCCATTACAAATATCAATGTATTAAAGCAGTCGTATGTTTCAATTTGATTTATGGTAAATTATTAAATAATATTTACCTACTTTGTTGTACATGTCCTACACAGATTTACATAGCTCTAAGCATTACTTTTTGCGCAATCCTTGTGTTTCTTTCACATTCCTGCATTAAAGGTATACATTGAGAATTAAGTTATAAACATAATATATTGAATGTCAGCATCACAAAATAAATAGTGAAAAGTAATTCTGTATATAGAAAATAAGAAAGAAAGAACAACACACCTAAAAATCCTAAAAAAAAATGATGAAGGGGACATCTTTGAGTTCAGTTTAACTGTCAGTTAAATAAATGTAAATACCTGATAAGACCTTAATGGCCCAAACAGATATCTTCTTAAATTTGTAATATAGTACTTCTTTATTTTTGACAACTTTATGCACAGTATATTTGCTTTTTAAAATACAGTGTACACATACATGTCAACTCTCCCACTTTAAGCGGGAGACTTCCACTTTCTGCAGCCATATTTTCAAGATTTATCTTAAATTAAGGGGTATTTTCACAAATTAAAGAAATCTCCCTATTTTTAATGTCAGAATTTCCTTCTTTATTAATTGCAACTTCTAAAATCTCTCTCGTTTTGAAAAAAATCTCCCACTTGATCATCAAAAAAAGTTCACATGTATGGTGTACATTGTACATCAAAAGGCATGGGTTCTTCACATTTCCTTGTTGGGGTGAACAAATGAGCCAGGTTTACAGAAAATCCTTAAATAAAGTAAATATACAGACAAGACAAGAAATTTTCTCACATGGGACCTTTAGGGGTGACCTTGAAAAAACCCCAAAGGTTCAAGGGTGGAGATTGACTGACTTATGATGTATAATAAACTCGATTCTTATGCCAGACTTATGGATGTATACAGTTTACCCTGGCACTGTAGGGCAACAATTATTACACTGGCAATGTGGGGCAACCATTATTACACTGGCAATGTGGGGCAACCATTATTACACCAACAATGTGGGGTAACCATTATTACACTGCCAATGTAGGACAAACATTATCACACTGGCACTATGGGGTAACCATTATTACACTGGCAAAGAAGGGCAACCATTATTACACTGCCAATGTGGGGCAACCATTATTACACTGGCAATGTAGGGCAATCATTATTTTACACTGGCTATGTAGGGCAACCATTATTACACTGTCAATGTGGGGCATCCATTATTACACTGGCACTGTAGGGAAACCATAATTTCACTGGCAATGTGGGGCAATAGTTATTACAGGTACTTTTTTTAAGAAGGATGTTAATCAAAATTACTTGTTTCTTATGTCATTTCCATTGTGTGTCATGTGTTAAAGAGCTACTGATTTATATAACTGCAGTATAACATTCCAAAAGGGAATTTTGTAATTTTGTAACAATAATTTGAGATCAATCAGAATGGTTAACATGCTGTGAAAGTAAACTACGAGTGTAATATCCTAAACGGCCATTAATTAATGACAAATAAGATAACTTATTCACAATACTACTTAAATATGACGCAACTCTTTACTTTCTAGCGTACCTTAATGTGTTTATAACATCAGTCAAATATATTAACCTGTTAACAGTATGACGAACTATTTTGAGGACGGATCAAACTCGTAAATGCAAATTATTACTTTACAGCATGATTAACTTTCTTTCGATTAGATCCCAACAAGATAGATAGAACATAATTGACCAGCTTATTTTTACTATTAATTTCTGTTCAATATTTACAATTCATAATACCGAAAATAAGTTAATAAAACTTACACGAGTTACCACAACTTCCACATGTCAGCCATGTTTATACAGGTGCGCTGTCAAATTATCGTAATTTGATTGGTTGTATCCACGGTATTGTTTACATCACGTGATCAATGTACAAAACCGCGGGAAAATTCGAATACTCTTAATTAAAGGAAATCCATTTGCTCCCTGTTTTTCCAGAATGAGTTTTCTAAAAAAGAAAGTTACATTATTAGTCCCAGAGTCAAGTAGAACTTACATATACAGTAGATCTAAGTCAGATTCATATTTATAATCTGATATCTTTTGCATATCTTTCTATTTCAAGTGTCCCAGTTTATTTATGCATGTAGACATCTACATCTCTGGTCTATGTAAGAAATTCAAAATCTATGTTTTTGGACCTCAGTTGAGTGCCTTTAAATATCTAAGCTCTAGCTTTTCTTCTAATTAATTTGGGTGTATCTTTCTTTTCAGTTAAAGTAAAGTTACATATTTTAACTTGTATTTTATGAATGATAATCAACTTATACTGTATTATAATTGTGTTTATGTTTTTCTTTAATATGTTTATTATTTTGAAAGCACATTAAGATTGACTAGATCTATTTTTATCTATTTTTTTTTGTTCTGTTCTGTAGAGAAATATTTTTAATAATGTTGTTATGATGAATTTAGAGCATATTAGATGCTTATATTTTGATGAAAATAGTGCTGATGTGACATATATATATTTTGTCAGAAAGGACACAAAATGTAAAAAAGTGGTATTTTGACTTCCATACAAAATATTAAATAATGACCTGCAAAAACTTAAAAGATGGCTCAACTTTATGGTCAATAAACTGTAACAAGATAGCAAGAATAAAAAGCTTTTGAAATAAAAGCAATTTTTGAAGCCTAATGGACCTTTTAACCCTTTCGCTGCCAGAGGGTTATTGTTTTATTGATCACCTATTTGCCAGAGGGTTTTCTAAGAAATTACTGTATTATTAATTAATATAATTATAATTATTTGTTATTAGTATTATAATGATTATAAATGTTTCCAAATCTGTTAGTATAATGATAATTATTGTCGATGGTATAATTTTCTTTATATTTTTTATTATTTTTATTATTATATAGAGGATATTGAATGAGTGTAGTTTAATACTAAATTTATTGAACGAGTTGAATAAAATCATGTTATGCGAGCCTCTGGCGAGCATTATATTGTTTTATTCAACGAGTTCAATAAATTTAGTATTGAATCTACACGAATATAATATTCTATTTATCACATATATAAAATAAGAACAGTAAACTGTTAAAATGAGTAATTTTTCAATGACGCGCCTATAGTGTAACGCCAACATTAGCGCGCTTTAACGCTATTAGTTTCTATATAGCGCAAATGACGTCACGTCATTGAAGTGTTATTACACTAGTGTAATATCGTTTTTATTAAATGGCTTTATTACACTCCTGCGCCGCGGTTTATGTGATAATAATATTTATTTATTATTATTATCATTATTATTATAGAAACGGCTAAAGCCGTCCATATGGCAAATACGCCGAAAATAACAGGGACGGCATAAGCCGTCCCTATGGCAGTGAAAGGGTTAATTACAAAAGTTGCAGGTTTTCTACCCTGTTACAGTTGTATTTTCACGACTTGTAAATTTTGTTGGCCTAATGGTTAAGGTGTATGCCTCTCAACCCAGGGATCATGGGTTCGAGCTCAAATTGAGTCATGATCATGTTTCTTCATTATGACACAAGTCAAGTACTGGTTGGTTCCAGGAAGCAGACTCGAAAGTGATTATTTGTTTAAATTAATATGTTTAAACCATATTTCTACTTTAATATATGTAACATTGGACATAATTCTTGAAGTATTGAAATATACAGGTAAAGGTAGTATAACAAGCAATTATCATAGTATTGAACAATCTATTAGTCCCCTACCGGTTAGAACCCCAGCAACACTCTGATGGGCCAATGGCCATTCAATTATGCCATTTCATGAATGAATGACATGAATTAACTTAAACCTTTTGAGTTCTAAGTTTGTCTATATCATAGTAAAATAATGTGTTTCCCTGCCTAGTAAGGTAATTACGTTAATACAACAGATAATCAAAAGGTACAGTTTTCTCAGGATGAATAAGTATAACTAATGTTTCAACTTTTCTCTATTTTAAGTAAATTTGTTGGAAAAAATCTTTAAAAATGATCTCAGGAAACAGTTTTTATGAACAGACAGACAGACAGACTGAAGGAGACTCTAAAGTTAATTTTTTAAACATCCCTGTTACCAAAATATAACATTTTTTAAAGCGAAATGCTTAAAGAGGAGATAACTCTTTGAAATAAAGATGCTAGATTTATGAACATTGTCATACATGATGTGAGTGTAACAAAGAACAATTATTTTAAGTTTAAAGATACCATTTTAAGTCACAAAGAAGAAAAGTAAAAAAAAATACCAATTTTCAAATATACCAGTAATTAACATGTATATATATATATAAAAGATGTTCGATTCCTTGTGTGGATCTCATGTATAAAAAAGTATGTTTTGGGAAATGCAGAGTACAAAGTTCGTTAATTTTTTATACGTTTATTTCTGTTAGCGCTTTCAAATGTTTTTACATATCTTCCATGTTTTTACATTTCATATATATATAATGTAGGTGTTGATAATGAATGTTTATTTTGAATTTGAAGTTTGTTTGTTTTGGGTTTTACGTCATATCGTGACGTTCCAGCTTCACTGGTGAAGGAAGACCTCAGGTGCCCTTCCATGCATTATTTCAGGCACTAACGGGGAATTTGAAGTAAATCCATGAAGAAATAAGAAAGTTACAGAATGAACTAGAAATGTGTCCATAGGACACGGGTGCCCCCACCGCGCCACTGTTATCTCAATCTTTTTACTAAGTCAAGGGAAATAACACAATAATACAAATATTTGATAAATCCACAAGCAAAACCCCAGGTGCAAATTTAAAATATGCTGAGCAACCTGCCCTTAAGGTTTAATGACTATGTCAAATCCAAGTTGAAAAATTGCAAAAAATTTCTAAGTGAAGGGCAATAACTCTAAAAATACTAAATAAATCCAGACGAAAATACCTGGTGCACAACTGCACATGCTGATCAATATTTCTGTAACGTTACATGATTCTAGGTCAAATACTTACGTGCGACACATGTTGAAAATTGCGAAATTTTACTAAGTCAAGGGCAATAACTCTGAAAATACTAAAAATATCCACACGAAAATACCCAGGTGCACAACTACATATGCTGATCAACATTCCTGTAAAGTTTCATGACTTTAGGTCAAATTCTTTTTGAGTTACGTGCGACACAAGTTGAAAA